ACTCGTTTTCATTATCTATATTTTAAAAAACACTATTTTCCAAATCATTTTTGATAAATTTTCTCATACATTTCACCATAAATGGTACAAAGTATATTAATTAACTATACAAAATAAAAATTTTAATAGTTTAGGGGTTTGAAAAGATTAAAATAGGGTTTGGGGATTTCGGGTAGAGTTTCAGAGTTTCGGGCAGGTTTCGGAAAAGTTTCGGATAGGGTTTTGGGTTTCGGGGTTTCGGATGAGGTTTCGAGTTTCGGATGAGGTTTCGGAATCTATAATCCGAAACCCGAAACTTTCGGATTTGGCAAAAAGGTTTCGGGTCCCATCTCTAGTACGTACTGTACGTACGTACGTACGTACGTATGTACGTTTGTACGTTGTAATAGGGAAAGATCGTCACCGAGGTAGCTCTGGATAATTTTTTGATTTGGTCGCGAAATCTGCCAAATCTGCCAGAAATGGCAGAAATAGCAGAAAATGTAGCTAGGGTAGAAAGGGTAGATAGAGAAGATATGTTAAAAATAGTTCTCTACAATGATAATGCATATAAAGACCCGAAGTGTATCTGAATAAAAGAACAACTCACTTTGAGTTCTAACTACGAAATTATCATAGTAGAGTTCTCTTAAAGTTCCTTTTGACATAATCGTTATCATATTCGTCTCATCGCATTATCCTTGTCCCGCGATATTGTGAAAAACCAGTATTCGTGATTCATAAAAAGAGAAAGAAAAAACTAGCGATTAACGTCCTCTTTTTATATCGAATTAACATTGATAAAACCTTGATCAATTTCGTCATTGTCCTACGATTACGTTTAACAATCGAAAGTATAAAAATCTTGTGACACGTTACACGAAATAAGCTGTAGACAAGAAAGAATACGTAGAACTATAATACAAGCTAATATCGAATAAGAAGTAAGAGAAGACTTATCTGAGCCACGGTATTATGATTACAAGACCCAAGCTCTGAAAAACTCGGTCCAAATCTTCCACGCCTCGATCGACGCCTTCCATTTTGGAGTTTCGGTCTTGTCACCTTCTAGATTTTTGGTGTATTGTAGTTACCACCATTATAGAAAAGCCTACGTATGTATGTGTACTGTTACACCGACTATTAAAATCACTGTAGCCTAGACATTTTCGGTATTGAATAGCTTGCTTATCTTTATGTAACATTTACGTATTACATTGTATGTCAAACTATGCTGTGCAACCTGATTTAAAGAAGGCACATACGTACCAACATTAACTGTTACGTAACAATCTCCTCGTTTAAAAAAATTTTTTTTATTCTTTCGAACATAAACTGTGCGCGGCTAGTAAAAGTTCTTAATATTACTATACTTGAAGTAAGCATAATTGACTACTTAATTAGAGTTCTGAAACAAAACCAAATGAGTTTAAAAAGTCCGAAATATAAAATGTGTTACAGTTCTACTGTACAAACTTAGAATGACAGGCATCATTATATGGGCTTCGTGCTGAGAAAAGGGACGAAATTAACAAAAAAAAAAAGGTCTTTGAAATATCAATTTTTATGTTGTACTTAGAATAAATTATAAGTAAAATGTAAACTTTAAGAAGCTATATTGCAAAATTTTATCAACACACTGCTTTTGTGTCTTAAGTGGAAAATGATCCTAGTCTGATTAATGTAAAAAAAACAACTTTTGAAAAAATGTCATTTTTGTCCCTTTTTCTCAGCACCTAGCCCATATATACTTACGTACAATTCTTTTTCAAAATTTTCAATTAGATTTAGAGAAAGTGTAAAAAATTTTTTACATAAAGATAACGAGGACGATAGAATTCATGTCATCTGCAAGCAATGACGCAGAAGTTATTCACTCTGATGAAAGTTCTAAGATAACATGTTGGGAGCATAAGGGTTTGGATTTGGTCATAATGTCATGTGAAAAAAATGCTTGGTCTCCAAAGGCAAGAAGGTTTAGTAATGGTAAATTTATTACATATCGTTTATCATTTGATTTAATTTCGTTTTAGAAAAATAATATGTTCTGAGTTTAAGTTTTCGCATTTTTAATATTATTTTATAGAATCTGAAGATTCGATATCTGTTAATTTTGATTTGGGAAAGACATATCCTCAAGCTAAGAAATTTTATTTCTTTGGTGTATATGATGGGCATGGAGGTATAAAGGATTTTATTATGTTATATTAATTATTTGATATGGTTTCTATGTTGATTTCATATATCGACTTTATATATTTAAATTTAGTGCAAGATGCTAAGAAGATTTCAAAATTATGTTCTGAGCTACTGCCAGAAAATATTGCCAAAAATTTGACAAAAAATCACAAAAATGAAGAACAAAATGTTATGAATGCTATAAAGGAAGGTTTTGCAGCAACGGAGAAGTATATGAACGAAGGTCTTTTTAATTTGCGTTTATGTAGTTTGAGATGTTAATTTTTTATCGGTTTATTTCTTAACAATTGATTTGTTTCTTTATTAGTACTTTTTAGAGAAGCTCAGGATTCTGGATGCACAGCACTGATTGCTGTGTTAACACCTTCAAGAGCATTATTTATTGTAATTAAATTAAAAAATAATATTTTAGAGTTTTGTAATTAATTATAAAATTGTAAATATACTGGTTATAAATTAATTTTCAGGCTAATATTGGAGATTCACCTGGTTTTATCTCAGCAAAGAGATTATTTTCTCTTCAAATTACAAATGAACATGATGTACATAATAAAGGTATTTGATATAATATTAAATATTATTTTTTTTAAACATTAATACAATTTTTATAAAATTTTATTTAGCTGAAATTTTAAGATTACGACAACAATCAAAAGAAAAAGATGGAGTTGGTTTTTCTATTTATAGATTAGCTCCTGGAAGAAGAGAAAAATCTTGGGCATGTAAGTACAATGTTAATAATTAAATATATAATCAAAAAGATGATTATTTTATTGGTTATATTTAAAATTACTAGTAAATAATACATATGGCCACGGAGTACAATTTACACGTTCATTTGGAGATTTTTATATTAAAAACAAAGCACCAAAAAGCTTGATATGTAAGTTAAAATGAATTAAATTAAAATAATAAATTTTTTTCAATGATTTATTTAATTCGTTATTATTTTAATAGCTGAACCAGAAATTGTAGAAAAATTTGATGCAAGAAAAATAAATTTGCTTATTCTTTGCTCTGATGGTAAATATTTAATATTGGTAACTTATTTTTAAACCATTAATATATAAATTTTCTTACAAAAAAATTTTATATAGGTATTACAAACCGCCTTAGAGCATATAAAAAATTGCCAACACAAGTTTTACTAAGTTATATTAAACAACATTTAAATTCGGAAAATCCTCTTAAATCAGCTTGCTATGAATTGGTCAAACTATGCGATTTAGTCTCTCAATCAGGATATTGTATTGATGATATGTCAATTATAGTAATAGTATTTTTAAATGGCAAAACATTAAAACAATGGTGTAAAGATGCAGCTAAACGAGCTGAAGATCCTGAAGAGTGGTTACATAATGAACGAAAAGAAGAAGAAGAGGTTTCTGATATCTCAGATGAAGATTTAGGTGGAGTTAGCTCTACAGAAGATAATATTAACTTTGATATTTATGATACTTCAAATCAGTATTCTGCTGAAGAAGCTGAAGAGTTTGATGATTTGACTGTTCCTGATAATTAAAATTGGTTAAAAAGCTGAAGAATTGATAATATGGCCATTCCCGATATTTAAAATTGACTAATTATTTAATCATGATTATATAACCTCAATATACATTGAATGGTCAGATCTCTCTAATTACATCCTCAGGCATTGCACTATTCAGTATGAGTTTAAAGGGGTACGCATTTAGAGAAAGTAGCTTTATAAATGTTATTAGCGGTTATAATTAAATACAAGGGTAGATTAACATATCGAACTGGTTTTTCTTTTTTTTTTTATTAACGCCTGCTAGTGTATCTTAAATTCAGAGCTTTTTTAAAAATTTTTTTGCTAGTATCTGTTGGTTGGTTGGCAAGAATAATCTCGCCAAAATTTTCGTAAAGACCAAACATATTGGAAATGATTCAAATGAAAATTTAATTTTAAATGAGTTGACATTGTAATATCTTTCAGAATACTATCACTATCATTAAAAATCTATATCGTTATATACACTAATCAAGCACCAAATCAAAAGATTATCATTGCTGAATCAAAATCTTATCGATTCGGCTAGAACAACTGAAAAAATTGCCGATGACAGAATCGAAAATTTCTAAGTCGGAATCAATAAGTAACTGACATCTGCCAAAATCAGAAACTTATCGATTCGATCATCGGCAATTTTTTCAGTTGTTCCAGAATTATGAAAACAGCTATAAAGTTATTAACAGGTTACTGACCGGTCATAACCAATTCAAACCCATCTCCTATTACTATTACTATGGGATAACCAATTGTAATGATTACTATTACTGGCCAATGAATAATAACCGTTTGACCGACTTGTTTGATCTCTAGTTAGCCAATCAACGAATAAGCAAAGCTTCCATATTAAACTTGAAATCTTGATATTCAAAAATAAATGATGGTCAGACAAATTATTATTAGTTAAGGTCAATCTGGCTGACTTGAGATGAATCAGTTTACAGTAGATGAATTTGAATAATGTTCAAGTGACCCCAGTTTTGGATAAAATGAATCTAATTCGAGTTCAAGCGAACATAAGTTAATGTTCAGTTATTCATACTTTAATAATACTGTATAAACTCATTCTAACACGATAAGAGAATGCTTACTATTAAATTAATTATCTAAATAAACTTTATTATTGGTAATATTTTTAACTATCGGTCAAAGATCCTTGAGCAACTTGCATAAATATAGAAGATTAGATTTAATAACGTGACAATTTTTAATCTTATTTGTAAACTTAAGTTAAGTAGCTTAGAATTTATTATAAATAAATTCGTGAGTGCATCTAATATATTAGACATGATTATGCATTATAAGGTGGCGGGTGTGGATCAACACTTTTCTGGCCACAACAAATCTTGCAAGCAGAATATAAAAGGCCAAAAACCTTAATAAGCGCTATGATTGTCACTAATCCTGCTGAGATCAAAAAATTTTTTTTGGTGTTAGGATCGCTTTTAATTCCAGAGTATCCATTGTAAATTGACCAACATAAAACTGCTAGATATGCTATCGAAAACATATCTGAAATAGAATTAACTTTATCAACTGTCATTTTATTTACTTCTTTATCTCCCCAGAGAAAATAATATTCCTGCTTGACTAGATTATACAAAACTTTTTGTATTAATATAAATTGCAAAAAATTTTAAGAAATGAATGTATAATTGACTTACAAAGTAGTATACAGAAATCCTCGTAACAAGTTAATCCAACTGCAGACCGAAGTTGAAATATAATATAAATACGTAAAATTAGTTCTACTATGATGATGACAATAAATGTCACCATTAAAACCTGCCCTTGTTCATGCTATGTAAATAAAAATAAAGTATATAAGTTTCAAATAAAATTTATAAGAATTTTTTTTCAAATCAATTACCGAGCGATAAACTGTGATGACAGTCACTATAAGTAGAAGATAAAAAATAAAATTTGTAGTTAGCCAAAATTTCCAAAATAATCGCCTCTTTTCTGACGCTGGTGTTCCTGCTCCCATTTTGATTTAAACAAATTTGACTGTTAATTATAATTACTGCATCTTTCGGCTTATTTAAGTTATTTTTTTTTGAATTTCGGCTTAGCTTTCGAAATATTGTATTCTTGTACTCTTTTGCCAACTACGCAATACATATTGTATATACAGTAATACTAAATATATCAAGAAACTTAATACGGAAAATTCTTATAAGAATATTTAAAGCCGTGTATAATTATACCGTTGTAACTCAATTTTCCAAAAGCAAATTTATCCATACTAGCAATCACTTTATCATTAATATTCACCATTCATATTTTAGATATAGGTAATACGATGGTTAGAAATAATTATCGGTAATAATATTCCGGGAAATAGTACCAGAACCCACGTTCTACGTACGTACGTACGTACGCACCTAGCTTTTAGCGGATCTCTAAATTTGGTGATACCGATTAAATGGCTTAGCCCATATCTACTACCATTTATGTAATTGTTAGACTTTATTCATGGCGTCGAATTAGGATCTGGAATCTTACTGCGGTAGTCGTGATGTTTCGAATATAAGTAGTTTCTTTCTCTTACTCAAATCATCGATTCATTATTCTCTTATTCTAGCATCACTGTCTTTGCAGCCAAAATTTGACACAAAACAAAAAAAAAAGTACTAGATTAGCATGTAAATTCGGAAATTATGAATTTTGGCGGGTCAAGAACCGGATTTGCACACTTATAGACAGAGTTGGCGCAGATTTTCTGAATTTTGGTGGCGTGGGTCAAGAACCGGATTTACACACTTATAGACAGAGTTGACGTAATTTGTTGAACAGTACGAAACGTATCGCATTACACATCTCAGTTTCTTTTTATTTTTATTTTTTTTTTTGGGCTATGCCGGCAATTCTTAATTTTAGGCCGGAGATGATTTTTATTGAGACAATTGAATGATAATTAGTACATGTTGATGAAGTGAACGATTGGCCGAGGTTGGCCAGAACGGCAATGACATCCCGAGAAGTTTGCAATAATTATTGCGCTGGGAGTCGCCGTAGGATTTGCTAGCCGGTGGTTTCCCGCCTGCCGAAGCAGGCCGGCTGTGTGCAGAGAAATGGGAGAGAAATAAAACATGCGCGTGTGGAGAAATGGTAGAATCACGCGGTCATCCAACATTTTTTTTTTTGGATTCTACCGTTCTCGCACATGTTTGTTATTTCCCCTCTTTTTTTTTCATTTTTTCAGAGAATTACTGTTTGTTGCTGTTGTTTCTGTTTGGTTTTTTTTTTTTTTTTTTTAATAGTCAACTGCTTTATTTATCATATATTTGCTCGCACATTTATCATTTATTTGTTTACATGTATGTCGCTTTTGCATATAACGGCAAGACTGAGTATGTTCCAATATTCAGTGTGAGAAGTCTAGGCGTTATATGCTTTCATTAGTATATGTACCACCATAGCGGGGTGTGCCCGAATGTATCTGTAGAATGTATCTGACTCCCATCGGCCGATTTTTTGAATCATTATTGGTTGCACACCGCGTAGTACCAATTCTGTGGTCCCCCCCGCTCTGAAACTATGGCCTGAAACGTCAGCATCAGGTAGGATTGCTTGAAGCTTTCTACAGAACCACCGTTTGGTGGCCCAGGAGCCATCCGATTTTATAAACAGGGTATTATTGCCGGGTGCATATGAAGGATTGGTCCGTCGGACTGTGTATGCTTTGAGTGATCTGATAGGGCACAGCTTATCATTGGTCGGGCTTATTATTAGTGTCGTTCTTATTGCTGATCTATGATTCTTGGTTCTTGCCAGCTGGATTGTTGCAAATGATGCGGAGTTAGTGTTTTCGAATCTTAATGCTTTCAGGGGGTATCTTGCTTCCATCTGATTTACAGTCTGGTAATAATTCGCCAAGGCGTGCAAGTCCATAAAATGAAGTTAATGTCACTGCCCAAAAAAGTAGGTCATCTGACTCCTTGAAGTTTAAATTGCGCCTTATCAAATCCAAGTGTGTCCTTGTAATGTGCATTTTCTGTTTTACTGGGCTGTGTTTATGATTCGCATCGATTATTCTGAGCATTTCCTTTATTAAAGGATCGTATCGGATCGGTGACCAATCAAATGAATTTCTAATGTGCTGGAATTTCAGTGCTGACAAGTAGGAAGCAATTGTTGGAGGAGAGACTTCGCTGCTTATTGATTTGATGAACTTAATTAATGAATCCTTTGATATAGGCCATACACTGCCATCTTCATTCTGCCAATGATGTTCATTTGCTAAATTTTGATAACGCCTAATAACTGATTCGTATGTTTTGTGCCTGGGTGGACTGATGTTTAGGATGTCGGCTGCCTGTTGATCTAATGGGATGTTTCCATTGAAATTTGTTAACTTTTGGTCTTGACTTCTTCTCATGCCGCCAATAACTGTGAATTTTCCTTGTCTTTTCTGCGTATAGTTGACTTGTTTGTGTGGATCTATTGTAGTAATGATGGAATAACGGAAATAATGTTAGTATACTCTAGTGGGATGTCGGGTTGGAGGAAACGTGCTATGGGATGTATTCTTTGTGTCCACTTCTTGATAGAAGCTCTGCTTCCGTGTTCTGCTTTCCTGGTATATGTTCTATCCTCAATGAAAAATTCTTTTGAATTTGTACTTCATATATTTGCACAATAATTCTATTAATCTGAGGATTTTTACAAAAGCCTGAATAATAAGCCTCTGCATTGGCCATGTTGTCTGTCCATATGATTAGCTTCCTTCTGGTCCACAGCGGAGAAAATGTACGAATTGCTATAAAAGTTGTTAAGAGCTCACGCTCCTGAATATCATGATCGATGTTGACATCTTGGCTAGACCATCTAAATGCTGTAAAATAGGTTTCAAAAGTTGCCCCGCCTCCAATATTTGAAGCATCTGTATACATATTGTGTATGTCTGGCTGTTGCCATGACCGATCCTCCATTAAGTAAGTGCCTGGCCATTTTTCTATTATACTTGCCCACCATTGTATGTCTGAGACCATCGGTTTTGTCATTCTTACATGGTGTCTTTGGTTTTTAATTGCTTCTTGCGCCTTTATAAAACGCTGTATGAATGGTCTTCCGTGGGGAAGCACCTGGCACATCCATACTAATGAGCCAACAAGAGATTGTAGGCCTTTTTGTAACACCATTTTTTCTTGGCCCACTCATTTAGCAATTTTTGTATTTTTTTGCCTTTTCTGAGGGGGAACTGACACGGACATTGTTTCAGTGTTTATCATAATACCCAAAAATGTGATGCAAGTGCTAGGCCCTTCTAGTTTTGACTCTTTAAAAGGCACTTTTAGTACATTTAATATTCGCAGAAATTGCTGAAGTTCTCTATGACCGTCAGTCTTCAATATTATCAGAAAATCGTCCACGTAGTGGATTATCGATTTGATACCTTGATGTGTAGCTATCCATGTAACTACATGGCAAACCTACAAAAAATGTCGCCCGAAGCTCTATTCCCAAAAGCCAGAGCTTTGTCAAAATATATATCATTGCCAATTTTTATTCCCTGCAAGATTTGGTCCACAGGGTGTACTGGAAGTATCCTATATGCATCCTTGATATCGATCTTGGATAATACACACCCTTTGCCATATGCATTAATCCACCTTATTGCATGACTCACGTTTTCATACTTAGTCATAAATTCTACACGATCTATCCCATCATTGATGCTAGATCCGAAGGGTGCTGATAGATGTGATATAACTCTAAATGCCATAGGGTTCGTACCCTTCTTCTCGACAAGCCCACATGGATTTACTTGAAATAAATCACACGGTGGTTGATCCTCTGAAATGGACCACACATACGGCCTTTTTCAACTTCATCTAGAATATAATTTCTGAAGGATGCTGGGTCTAGGTCAATTGACTTTAGATTGTCTTGGATTCTCTTAACTCGGGCACCTGAGAAGTTAAACCTGAAACCTTCTACTATTCCCTTTGTTAAGTATTCTATAAAGAGGCGATTAGGATGCTGGTTTGTTAGTGTTTTGAAAGCTTGAACATCTATTGTGGTTCTTGTGCTGAATTTAACCGGGTCAATTTGCATGAGTAACTTGGTTTCTTCTGTTGAAAGAGGAATATCACGTGGCGGAATACTAGTCAATGTCTCGCTTACTGATTGGAGCACTGGTGGATCACATGTTGTAATATTACGTGAAAGTTTGTACTGGGCGGTATGTCGAAAAACTCTTTCATTCTTATTATCTGGCCAATATTTGTTAAACTATTTGTTAGTTCAGTTTATTTCGTTTATTTATTTATTTATTTTTCATGACTATCAGTATGCGTTTATTAATTTTTTAAGATCATATTTGCATAAGCATTACTACATTTGTTATTCGTATTATAACCTATATTGTTTCGTCTATTTGTTTATTTATTTATTTATTATTTTTTTTTTTTTTGATTCAATTATTATTACTGTCACTTTAATTATTATTCTCTGCATGCTCATTTTGTCTGGGTCTCGGATTAGCTCCTGAGTTATTAAAGCATCGCCGTTCCTGGTGACCCATCTTCTTGCAAGATAGACAAGCATGAACTCGCCCGCATTTCTTGTCATCACTACAGTTTCTACGGTTCCAGTTTATGCAGATCTCTCTGCCATCATGCCATGCTGTATCGATTCTGGGAAAGCGCGACCTGCTGACCTTTATCTTCTTGGTAGTTGTTACATCCAAATTTTCACCTTCAGTCTCGATATTCCTTTCAAATAGTGTTGTGTCTCGGTCCATCGCTAATGCCAAGCGGCGGTCTTCGTCATATACCATCACTGCAAAGAATTCATATTTGATGCAAAGGTTGCTGATGTGATTGCGGTAAAAATTTAATTCCGACTCTCTTTCCTCATATATTATAAGCACCGCTTCCATGTACGATCCAAATGCTAATAACCATTCTGCTATGTCATTAAATTTGCTGTATAATGGTCGTTTTCGGATAGTTAAATATCCTCCTTCTGATGCCTGTAGAGGTAGTTCTTCGTGGTGAAACTTAGCACTTGCTCTTATATTTTTATAAGCGAATTCTTGGAGGTCGACATATGCACCAAGTGCAATTGACTTCCATAACCGTGAAGACAGATTTGGTTTACAAGGCAGCATCTCGATTACTTTCTGCCCTTCTGACCAATTAGATACCCACCAAAGTCTTTTGCTCTCAATGTTTGCTGCTAGTGGGTTCGCAAACTCCTTTACTACTGGTAACTGCTTTAGCTTCGCATAGTTTATTGACGTATATTTCCGAGCTTTGTTTTTTGCAATTGATAACTCATTCCTTGTGCGTGTCATTAACTCTGCTGGGGCCATATCAATTATCATGTTATTAAGAATAGGTGTTGGTGGATATTTACCTTGAGGTAAGTCGTCTCTCAATTCCGATTGTGAGCATATTGTTGCTGGGGTTGTTTGGTTGGTTTGTTCTTCTTCAGTGGCCATATTATTGTTGAAATTTACTCCATTGGTCGTCAAACCAACCTGCTCTAGCTTGCTAAACCATTCATCTATCGTTTTTTGCAATTGTTCATTCCAACTCCTCTGAGCTTCGGTTTGTTGGTTAATTATCTCTTTGACTTTTTCGATTAACGTCGTAACAGTTGCTTGGCATGCACTATCAATGTATGCTTTAATCTGCGGATCCATACTTGATGTTGGTTCATTAGACATTTCTTTCCCGTCTTATTTCTCTTCGAGAAATTTTAGATCGTTGCGGGTTTGATACCAATGGGACCTGTGCCCGGCCCCTGATTATAAATACGAATTTCGTCCTGCCTATTCCAGTTGTATGGCGTTCACATTCATTACGTGAAGCTGACATATGCCGTTGCATCTTGCATATGATTTTCAATACTCAATCGCATTCCTTTCTTGGTATTTGATGTTTCGTGACACACCTTGTGGTTGTGGTGGCGTGGCTGTGTGGCTGCTTCACCTTTCGATCACGTGATTACCATCACTCCGCATTAAACCTTATACCCATACTAATGTTACATGAAAAATTGTCTCCCGATATCCCTATGATCGTTTATGTGCTACCACGGGATATTCAGGGATACTGAGAACTTACCCCTGTCATTTTTACAGAAATGATGCACGTGTCAACAACTTAAAAAAGAACTTGATCGGCGTGGCGTATAATTGCCGCAGCAACGATCTCCCAATAAGGTTGCTGGCCGTAAGTAATAATTACAACTATTACAGATTACAACCTGGGTTGCAATCCTTGATTACAACTAAAACTCAAAGTTGTAAAATGTTGAAATAGTTGTAATAGCCATAAAAGGTGTAATTGCTATAAAGAGTGTAATTGTCGTAAAGGGTGTAATTGCTGTAAAGGATGTAATTGCCATAATAGCGATATGTTGTATCATAACAATAATACAGTTTTAGATTTGTAATAATCCGGTAGTATAGTCTAAACTGCATGATAATTA